AATTTATTTGAATTTTTCAAAATAATTTGAAATAAATGCCATTTAACATTCATCACTTTTAGCAAAGACAACAAACTATTTGTTGTACTTTAGTGCTAATACTCGTCATTCTTCCGGAAGCAAAGAAGGAATAATTTATCAATGGCCATTTCTTATATCTCTAAGGCGATTTTTAGCAAAGCTTCTTTGGCTAAAGTTATTGTGCCAAGCTGTGCTGGCCAAGCTCTCATTCAAATGCTTTTCTTTTCTATTAAGTCATTAAAACTATCTATCATATGTTATAATTTTCACTGCATAAGTTTTCCTGAAAAAAATGATGAAATTTCGATCAAATCCATCGATTTGTATTAAAATGAGAAAATTTGTTTAGTTTTAAACTCTTTCATCTAAATGAACAAACTTTGTTTAGCTTATGTGAACCTAAATTTTTTTATTTGATAACAGGTCGCTTATCAAAATGATATCAAACAGAAACATTTCTCTCTCTCTCTCCCTCCCTCTCGTTCTTTCTCTCTCTCTCTCTCTCTCTCTCTTTGTGTGTAATCTGTGTAATCCTATGTAGCTCTTATATTTCAGATCTAATATTTCACAATAATTCATAAAGCAATGACAAATATTTGTCCCTTTTTAATTCTTGTAATTTGGACAAATTTTAAAGTTTTAATTAGACTAAGATTGTTCTGAAATAAACTAATTTCATCAGTACAAAAGAAAATGAATAACAATTTCAAAACTTTTTCAAAAATTCAAGTCTATCCTTATTTCCAGATTTCGCAAATTAAGAAATTAGAAATGGAATACTCATTTTAAACGCTAATTACGTTTCATAAATCAAATGAACATATTTACTTCATTCCTAAACTTTCAACCATCAGCCTTAGACAATTAGACAAACGAAGTGGACACACTTCGTTTGCCTAATTTATGTCCAATTAATCTAGAATGCTAATTTGACCATTTTAGAAGATAAATTCCGCCATCATTTTCTACCACACATTCAAATTTAATTAACAAATGAAACACTGGATAGAGTGGAAAAAATCGTAGTGTTTTTCGATTTTTTTTTTTTGTGAGATTCGTTGTTCACAAAGTGTAATGTCACCGCTGTTCTGATGAGACATATGCGCCTAAACTCAATATGTCTTCTTCATATCATCCATTCATATGACAAAAGATTAAACAAATTGAACGTTTCGTTTGTTGTTACATTTCGCATTATCCTATCTCAACCAAACCAACTAAAGCAATACCACTTTTCTCCGCTTCAATAATGACAACAGAGTGACAATGAGACAAGAAAAAAGACTGCGCTCACTCTTTGCCATCAACGATCAATAATGAGTGAGAGTTATTTAGTTGGTGGTTGAATTTGTTGGCAGTATGTCCTGCTCATCTACCTATCATATCATATCATATCATTAATGCGAAGTGCAACCAATTTTCCGTCATCCATTCACATATATCTCTTACTCATTCATTTTTTCTCACACATATAACATAACCAGGTTGATTACATGCCCGTCTGCTTATCCTGAATTTACCAGGTCAACAACTTATTTGTCCATTTAATTTGAATTTACCAGATCGATAACTTTCCCGTCAACCCAGCTCATTTAATTTAATTAATTACATAAGCTGTCCTGATCTCAGTTACGAAATGTGTTAACTGTAATCGGCTTTCTCTTCAATTTCAAAAACTCATAATATAGTCAATTTCCTTTCCGTTTTTTTTCTTTTTTTAGCGACAATTCAACTTTTGACAGTGAAAGTTGGCTAAGAACCTATATAAAGTCATTCGATCAAACCTTCCAGAACTATTAAGAGACATGCTTTAATTAACAATGTACTGTGAATATGAACTGATTTAACTGGAAATCAAATAGCCTTTATTTCCGATCATTTTGCACTTCCATTAACCATTTCATATGCTTAGTTTTGTTGACAAATGTTTGTGACAATTGTGCAAATCGATATAAGAGACACAGAGTGACACATTTCCATCATTGAGAAGCTACACCCCTCTTTTGCTGTACTGCGACATCTTAGCCATTCCTCTATATCTTTCTTCTTTGTGAAAATAAAGAATAATTTCAAAAATATAAACTCTTAAAGCTTCTCTTATATCTACTTTCTTAACTAAAATTACAATTTGTCAACGTTTTTGCGATGTGAATTAGTCTCGAATTTTGCATTTATGCATTCAATAGGGATAGATAATTGCGATGAAGTTGAAACGAGATTTTTTATACAAACTTGATCCTATAATGAGGTAATCTCCTTTTGACCTAATCAGTAATGAAATCATAAAATGCTAGCTATCAGTATATATCCCACATAATCTAGCTATCAGTATATATCCCGCATAATCTAGCTATCAGTATATATCCCGCATAATCTAGCTATCAGTATATATCCCACATAATCTAGCTATCAGTATATATCCCACATAATCT